TTTTTTTTTTTCTTTTTTGAGTTCATCGGACAAAAACGACTAGGAATTGTGAAGGCTACTCTGGAAGCACATTTGGTTGTCTTCTTTAATACACTATTTTCCTCTCAAAAGTGCGTGTTACAGAAGCAGAAGGACTGTAAGTATTACAGCATTAGCAGAATCACTTGAAGGAGAGCATGGCCCAGCCGTTAATGAAGACTGAAACTAAGGATATCAAAGACCAAAAATCATTTATTCGTTCTAAAATTCATCACTGACAAAACTGTGTTATGTAAGGCCAGAAGATTCAAAGTGAAATGGTAGGAATAAGGCGTTGAAAAATCAGAAAGAAATGCATGATTGAGTCTAAAATTATGGCAGATGAATCAGACCGAGTTGAAAATGCTTTATATAGAAAGAAGAAGACCGGTTATCACCAAAAAAGAAGATGCTTGCACTCGAAGCATGTTCAAACTGTAATGGCATTTCGTTTTTTTCTCATTTTCATAACGAAAAAAATTTGGTTGTAAACATTCATTAAGAAATGAATAATGTTGCGGATGAATAGATACAAATTTTATCTATAAGCTTTGGATAAAGTTGATTGAGATTAAGCCATTTAAACTGTTAACGATTTACCCTTATTGGTTAATTTGTTTTAGTGTTGAACACGGATGTTTTTTCAACTTTCCTTCTTTCAATTCATTTTCTTTTTTGGTTCTATACTAATAATATATGTGTTTAATTTTATAAAAGCACAAGAATGTTGCATCTTACTTAATGCATATAATTTAATATTGTGCTGCAACTGTTGTAGTGAGGGACCGAATTTAAAAATGCTAATTTGAGTATTAAATGTTTGCAGTGCGGTTCAATATGCACGCGTCTTTATTGGAGCGATCTTTCAACAGGCTGAATCTTTCTGATCCGAATGTTTGCGCTAAAAATCTTTTCTTTTTTGTTTCCCGATTTCTTCCAGTAGTCTCAAAACAAGTATATTGCTGATAGTAGCAGTATTGTGCTCTAACTGAAACAGTTGAATTGGACCTTATTGGATAGACAGCTGGGCAATTTATTTGTTATTCTGATGAGCAAAGAGAGAAAAGCACAGGAAGAAAAAACAAGCAACATTACATGTGTGCCACAGTGAGTTAAACTGAACTGTGTGTGATTTTTCCATGTATTCCTGTCTGTAAGCTCCTGCCCTTTTCCGTTGCTTTACGTAGTTTTTTGCAACATATTTTTTTTGTGCTGTTGATTTTTTTTTTTTTATTGGCTTTAAATTTATAGAGAAGCGTATGAAACGAATGGTAAGAATAGTTTTTGAGAATAGCAAGGGAGAGAAGAGAATCGGCTTTTTTTTTCGTTTTGAGGTAAGTTTTCGATATTAGTTTTTGTAGTTTATCGCGCTTCAGGATTATAATTTAGAAAAACGGACGCTGTTTGGGCGGAATTGTTGGAAAGTTAAAACAAAATGTGCTTTTTTTTGCGGTTAGTAACTTGTGCCACATAAAGAGGAGGTTTTTCAGCAGCATACACACAGAACACAGGTGTCGAGATTGAAAAAAGTGTAATTTTTCATTCATTTGTTTGTGTTGTCGTTGCCGTCGTTATCTCGAAAAAATGCTGTTTATTTTTCATTGTATTAAAATTCGTTTCTCTGGTACTGATGAAGGAGAAAATCAAAGACTTCGTTACTATAACCATTATTGGAGCTGTTATTATCTATTGTTATTGTTGTTGTTATTGTTATTGTTGTTGTTATTATTATTGTTATTGTTATTAGATTCTTAGTATTACGATTATTATTATTATTACTATTATTAGTGATTATTATTATTATTATTATTATTATTATTATTATTGCCATTATCATTATTACTACTAATATTGTCAATATTATTATTCTCGTTGCCATTATTAATATCGCTATTACTATATTATCGTTATTTGATCTTTCACTGGTGACTACTATTACTTCATTAGCAACCAGACAGTTTAAACAGTAACGCAGAAACATATGCATGGTTTTTTTCATGCGTATGCAAAGTTCCTTCTACGCCACAGCTTTACGTTTATTTTTAACTTTTGTTTTATGATTTTAGAGCTGTTTTTTTTCTTTCTTTCTCTTCTTTTCTCTTTCTTTCTTCGTTCCTTTCTTTCTTTCTTTGTTTCTTTCATTTTGAAAGCATAGTAAGCAGTTGAAAGCGAGTTTTCCTATCCGTTGAATAACGTCAATGCAATTTAGATAATAAATGTGACATTTCTTTTTATTGAAGGTTAAAATTTATTATTTATACTGTTTTTGGTTTCAGAAGCTATGCTTGCGTTACAGGATTGTGAGAAAACAAGGTATGTTTGTAAAATCTTCTAACTTATCAGGTTTTAATGTTTGTTTTTAGGAATGATGAATAAAGCGGGAGTAGGTGGAGGGTAAGAATTTATGGCGTTTGATGTTGAATTTCAATATTTTTTGTTTGTTTCAAAAGGCATTTGTTATTAATATTTAATGTTTATTTTATCTTGATTCTGCTTGTTTGGGTTTTTATAGGTTGTTCTATTTTATCAATAGGTTTAATACTGGAGAAGATTGTACTTTTAAACTAATTTTTTTTACTCAATGTGTTTGTTTGTTGTGAAGCGGATCTTTTCTGTTGTTTATGTGAAACTTTGCCTATATGCAATTATTACAGTTTCTAGTTATTTTAAATCTTCACCCTATTTGGTAAAAAAAGGTGACATGCAGTTGATTTCTTAATTTGTCTTAAAAATTTATTTGTAGCCAAAAGACAAATTAATCTTTCTGCAACCTAAGTTAAAACGATGATTTCCTCAACGAATTTTTCGTTTGAGATTGAACTTTATAGAGTGACCCTTTGTTTGGTTTTTTTGGCTGGAAACGGCAGTGCTTTTTCAACAGCATCTCTTTATATTCCTCGTGATCTCTTTATATTCCTTATGATGAAAAAAATTCTGTTTCATTTTTTTGTCGGTAGTTAAATTTCAGTCTTACATCTCTTAGATTTTTGGTTTTACAGTTTGTTTGATAACTAAGGAGTTTCCTATCGTGGACGTAACTCCACTGGTATGTTGAAGTGATTTCTTAAGCGTTTTAGTATGGTGTATGGTCTTTTTCTTATTCCTTCACTCTGCTTTTACTAAGTGATACTTTTGAATATATCGTGTGAAACAGAGATGGAAGATTAGTTTTATGTATTTATTGCTTGCCTATTATAAAGTTCTCTTTTGGTTTGGGTTGGCTTTGGTTGTTTATACAAGCCTTATTTGAATCAGTTGACTTGTTTGTTATTCTTGAATGTACCGTTTATTTTAATTCAAAATAAAGTTTCACCGGATTATGAAGCAGCTTTCGTGTGTACTTATCCTTTTTTCGCTGCTCTATGAACTCATCTTTTGATTCTCTGGAGGTTTTTTTGGATGTTGTTTTGAACTTGTTCCTCTAGTCTCAACGGGGTTTGTTCTGTAAAGCTTACCTTTTAATGTAAATTGGTGTACTTTTTATGTGAGGTTAGAGGGTTTTTAAGCGTAGGAAGCGGTAAGTGATTTGCTAACTGCTTTGGAAAAACTAAGGTAACTAATAATAGGTGGGAGCGTTTGTATAAAATACAGTTTTTGACCCGCTTTTGACATATGCAGAAACTAGTTTTAGCTCCACATGGGAAATATGCCCTACATTCCTCTTCATACTGTTGTACTTCTGCGCTACGTTGAAATTATCCCAGGACGTCGTTTTCCGATACAGAGATTTATTCCAGGCAAAAAGTTAAAACTGACTAGCTTATGCTGATTTTTTTAGATTGGGGGTAAGGATTGTGTTTGGCTGACAGGGAGGAAATTCCTTTTGCTTTTTAGTGTGGCGTAAAGTTTGTAAAAAATATGGTCAAAATCAGGTTCCAGTTCTTTGGTTTATCTCTTATTTAGTAATCATCTGTGCCCTCTCCGCTGGACAGTAGAATACGGTTGCAAAATAATGTGGTGGTAGTGAAAAGTTGACAAAAAAGTTTGGTTAGATATAATTTTCTGCTTGGCAGGTTTTCTTCCTATGAACTTTGAGTCGCGCTTCACTGTAGAGGAGAAAAGAAGTTATTCTGGGTGGCCCCGAGCAGGAGGTGCATATATCAGTAGTGCCGCCACTCATTCTTTTCAATATTGCTTGTTTTTTTTTTTTTTTTTTAGGTTGGCTAGACGGTTTAATGCCGGGTAGTAGTGTGTTGACTAAGTTATAACTTCTTGCCGTTCTTAGATGGCATCGTATTTAGCGGGCAGGGGGAATTTTCCTACGCTTTTTAGTGTAGCGTAAAGTTTGTAAACAAAGATGTGGAATAATACCTTGAAATTGTAGTGTAAAGGCGGGTAGTATCATTTGTATGAACAATGATTTTCTGTCTTTGGAGTGAAATTTTTCAGATCATCTTTTGCTGTGACGGTCAGAAGCCTTAAGGGACTGACTAAATTAGTTGTTTGATAATTGAGCCGTTTAATAAGCGAAGTCTCATCGTTGTTCTGACAGGCAAATGTAGTGGTTGTAGGTTATAAAGGAAGATCTGACGCTTTAGACGGCGAGTACGTGTGAAGAGCAGTCTAGAATTGTTCTGGGAATTTTTTAGGAAATTAAGTTATTACGATTTCTTCAAAAAATTGATTCCAATTTAAGTCAACCAGAAACATATTGCTTTGGAACTACTGAAGTGTTCTAAAAATTAATTACTTTCGACATTCTTTAGCAAGTTACTTTCCTTGACTTTAAGTTATTTTTAGAAGATAGTTTTTTTTGTGCGGTTATAAAGTGGTCAAAGCGGTTCAACTTTTGTAGGCATACTGTTGATGTCCTGTAATATGATGGAATAGATGCATACTAGCGAATTTGTGTCGACATTGATTCTGCGCTACCTTTAACGACGTAATTTTGCACATGTTTTGCTTGTTTTACTTTTGGTTCTTTAAGGTAGTTTTTTATTTTGGATATGGACACTGCATGAAATGGCATTTTTGAAGAAAAAGCGATTGAAATTCAACGTCAATTTACAGTTGGTACAGTTGAGCGACGTTCCTCTTGTTAATGCAATTTTGTTTGCTAAGGTAAGCAGAATTAAACTGTTATTTTCAGTTTCTGTCATATATTTCCATGGTGTTGATAATTTTTTGAACTGTTTGATTAAACTGGCTTTTATTTATTTAAAAATGTTCAGTGATATTGGTATGATATTGTTGTTAGAAAGTTTGTTTTTATTCTTGTCTTGTTTTTTTTCAAAGGTAACAGTGTCTTTTCCAAAAATTCATTCTTTTGAACGTGTCGTAGCTTGTTAGGGCCACTAAAGCATGCATTTAACACCGCTCTCTACTGCAATGGATATTTTTGAATACGGTGGTTAATTTGATGGTAGTATTTATACATTAGAAACAACTGTTTGAGTATGTAAAGCCTTGCTTTTACTTTTATGTAACTGAGCTGTAGACTTATGGCTGGAGCAAGCTTTTGGGACTAACCATTTAAGAAGTCGAAGTCTGAAGCCATTTAACAGCTGTGTGTTGAAACCAAGTTTGTACAAAAATTTTGCTCTCGATTTTTCGTTAACAATTTTTCAGGTCCGGTTACTAAGTGGGGGAAATTTTGAGGATGTTACAGAGCGCGTCGAAGTTGCCAACCATGCTGCTGTGTGGAACCAGTCTTTTACTTTTCTCTGTAGAATTGGCTGTGATCCAGAAACTGGTGTTCTAGAAAAGTGCGAGTGCAGAATTTCGTTGCGAAAGGTTAGTTTTTTCCCTATGATTTAGCGTACCGCAGTAGACTTTTAGGTTACTATTTGTGGGGAGAGTACTGCATCATTATTGTTTTGGATACAGTCTTCTTAGGGACTTGTGGTTAGTGAGTCTACAGCAGTTGTTTAGGATTCTAAGAATGAAGATTTCTAGGTGTGAATTTTAAAATGCGTTGCTTGTGGGGAAATTTTGTAAGGAATTGCAAAAATAGAGATGATGACTGATAATGTAGTCTTTCACATAAAAAAGAGTGCTTTCTGTCTGTTTAACGAACGTAGTTGGAAGTTGTTCCACTTCGAAACTGGGAAAATCGGTAATTGGAGAATTTATAAAAAACTAATTTTCTAGGCAATTTTTTGTTAGATTTCAAGCAGCACTTGTTTATTTAGTCTCTTGTTAGCGTTCTCGAGATTTTTTTAGTGTTTTTCAGAGTTTACTGGGCCATATTGTTTTTTTTCGGATTACTTTTTGACAGCTTTAGATTTTTAGCTGTTAAAGAGCGTAGTTTCCATCGGGAAATTAGGCAATTTTTTTCAAAGTTGTGCTGATGACCTTTAGCATCATAAATATTCTGAACAGCTAATTTGGAAATTGTGAAAGTGTAAATTGTACTGGTGGACAAAAGAAGTTTCCGAAGCATACATTTGTATCTGTGGAAAATTTTAGTTCTGATAGTAGTGAGGTAGAAAGGTCCTAGTCATTCTAATTTTTTTACTGTCTATACTATTAACGATTCTTCCTTTCGAATGATAGTTTTTCAAAGGCTGTTTTGGACTCTATTAAACTGTGGTAGCTTTTGTTAGAAGCATTTTTTTAAAAACTAAGATCTAATTTGGGGGTTGTTTTAAGTACTTGTTTTCGGATTTTATAATTTGCTATTGTTCTGCTTAGGAGCAAAGAGGAGGTAAATCATGCCAGAAAGTGGGATTTGTTGATGTTAATCTGTCGCAGTTCGCGGATTCTGGAGTGGAGAGTATTGCAAAGTCTTATCTCCTTGATGGATACGGAATGAATCAAAGACAAGATAATTCTCGTGTTTTTATCAAGGTGACCATGAGTCATCTTAATGCTGACCCAATTTTCAAAGTGTAAGGATCTATGTAACTTTTTTGAAGATATTTTAATCTATATACTTTTATTTGACTAACAGCGGCTTCTAAGAAAGCAGTATTCTCGTGTTTTAGATTTTCAATTTTTATTGTTACGTTTTCAGCCCAAGGAATGAGCCTCATAGTGATGACGAACTTAATCCTTTGGACCGTAAGGCACCGTCTGTTGGCGATGATCAGCAAAATAACCGGAAGGCTTCTGCTCCAGAATCAGATTCAAACAATTCATCCTCTGCAGAAGACATAAATCACGTTTTAGGTATAAATAAATATAAAACAATATTTATTTGTTCCGCTAAACTTTAATTTTCATTTCCCACTCATACAGATTTTTGTTAACATTGTACTTTTGATAAATTGTCACTAAGATTTTTGATTAAAGCTTTCTTACAGTGTAGGCTTTTAAGACTTCAGTCTAAATTAGATTTGGGGATAATTTAAATTGGTTTGTTTCGGAGGAGGCATACACGTTTTGAGGAGAACAATTCTTAATGAGCGATACTTCCTCTTAACATCACAAGTTTTAATTTTTGGCTTAGTAAGTTGTGTTCTTCGTTTTTTAACTTCTTTTCAATTTATAAGGTATTTTACGCGTTTTTATTTTGCTCACGGTCTTTAATAAGAAAAAGTTGCCTTAACTCATGCCGACAGATAAAATTAGCGCATGCGCCTGAGGGGTTGGTTGCATGGAATGTTTTATAAAAATATTTTTGTATTTTACTTCAATGTTTGGGAGAATCGTTTATTTTCAATTTTAAAAATGAACTAAGTTATTTTCATTGTTTTTTTATCCTTTTTTTTTCTTTGTCAGGATTTCATCTGGATTAATAGTCAGTTATTCTTGTTGTTTTTCAATAAATAAGCTTTTAACGTTAAAACTTATCGTTTTGAACACGGTACTTGAAAGAGATTGTATTATATATCATTGTCTTTGTGAATTTCTAAATTTAGTTTTAGGCTAGAGCTTGTCGAGTCAAGAAATAGTAGTTGAGAATTCAATTCTGTATTATTACACTGTTGACAAGAAATTGATGACGTGTCTCAAAAATCGTTGAACAACCGGTGTTTCTGAAGTCTCTGAATAGAATTAATCTTCAATAATCTTATAGTGCTTAGGGGTTTTCGTTTCTTGTCTTATGAGAGTGTTGCTTAGGTAAAAGTAGTTTTTTGGTGATAAATTTTTCTGTGGGTTTGAATCTAGTGGAAGTAATTTGTTTAGGTTGACAGAAGTTTGAAAACTGGAGCTTGAGAAACCTATTGCTTTGTGAT